TTAGGGGTGTAGAGGTTTAGGGTTTCTTCGTGGCTCAGGGGCCGAATCTCCAAATTTGCGGTCAGAATGCTAATGCTGGGTAGGCCCCTAGGATAGTTATTATTTTCCCTAATGGCTTTAATAAGGGACCCTCTATACTAATATTTTTGTAATAGTAATAATGGTAACAAGAGTAATCACACAATGAGGGAAAAAGGGGGAAATACGGAGAATGGAAAAGACTATACCAATGACTATGTCATGAACTTCCTGGTGAACTCGCGGTCTCACATTGTGGACGAGGGCTTTTTCATTCCGCCCACACTCGGAACCCTGCAAGAACAGACTCAGTAATGATCGCCATGATCATGACATTGCTACCGATGTTTTTTGAGCTGGAACTTGATACCCACGTGGGGGTTCCAAAAATTCAAGAGTCCCTTTTAGGGACAACAATTAGAAGATTTTGTGGTCTACATTGAACCCCCCCAGTTTTGGAAGCCTCCATTTATTTTGTATTCACCATGTGGAAGCCTAGCTTCAGACCAACTCTTTGTGGGCACCCCACCCTCCAATAGGGAGAATGGTAGTTGTATTTGCATGACTTTAGATATTCTGACCCTAAACCTTAAATAGTAGTTTCCATTTGCTTTTCCATTATTCCATTATATAAACCCAATATAACCCATGACATACCCCTACCAACTTAGTGCGTGGGACGTCCTTCTCGCAGGGCCTGGAGAAGGCCATCGAGTGCGGATGGTTTGACTGGAAACAGTTGCTCAGCGGCAGACTACCAAACAGCTTAAGTATGTATTGTATGTCGAAACTCCAAGAGCCCGAGGTTCGATGTGGAATCCTACGAATTCTTCGAAAAGGTCATCCACCCTTCCAGTGGGCTCTTATCAGCGTGCAAGTCCCGAGCGAGTACTGCCAGATTTGAATATGTGCTCTGCTAACCGCAGTTAGATGGTGGTTTTGAGATTCCTCGATAGGTGTGTATGTATGTACATATATATATATCCATAGACACATGTACAGACATCACACAATATCCAAACAAGCGTTCTAGTTTCACAAATTCCCACATGGAGGTCTTTCCAAATGTTCTTTGCAGAATCCTGTGTTCCTCAAAGCCAACCTGCTTGAGAAACCTCCCACATAAAATGCTACCAACTGCTTCAATTAAGTTAAGGAACTGTTATTCATTATATTCGCGTAGTATGGTAACTTAATTTGAAATTCAAGCTCCTTAACAGCAACCCAGCCAAAGATTCTATTCATTGAGCTCAGCAGATCTTACTCGCCCGGCCTCTTTGGCTGAACCTTTGGCTCATGTGTCAGGCGGGTCTGATGGATGCTATCTGGGCTGGGGGTTACAGGCTTTGGGGAAACAACTGCAAGGTTTGGCTAGTTGCAAAGTTGATGATGATGAGGATGCTGGCAGCGGACATATGACAAGGGATAGCAATGCTGGTTTTCATGATGACCTTTTCAAGGTTGTAAAGGCAGTTGTGATCAGACGGGAAACAGGACAAATTCCAGTCATGATGTCGCAAGAGGGCGTGGGATGTCTTGCGGCAAGACGATACAGTAACATTAATATAAGAATAAAACGTAAAAATAACTTAATAAGAAGATTCTACTAATAATATGGCAATAAGATATCAGGCTTTAGCATGGTGGGTATTTTGAGTTTCCAGACAACGTCAGCGCTTCCGGGAACGGCTCTCTTGCCAAGGGAGAAATTAGGCAAGCCTGAATGCACCGACTCTCATGGCATGTGGTGAAATGGATGCCTGGAAAAAGCTGGTGGAGTTTCCTGACAAGGATGGCAAGGCAGGGGTTAAGGGTTTAGGGCTTAGGCTTCAGGGGTTGAGTAATCTAGAGTTTAGAGTGAGGGTTTAGGGTTTAGGGTTATGCAATGGCATGAAGGGACAGGTCTCAGCTAAGCCCAATGCGCCCTGCTCAGACCCTGGACGAGCATCGTGAGTGCTTGGAGACCCTGAAGGCGTCGCTGCGAGAGGCTCCTTGCGATTACAATGATTGTTTTACTATGATTAAAGTACTACCATTCCTACAAAATTATTGCTATTATTATCTGTTATTGTTATAAATATTCGTACTATAACTCTTCTTGCTACTACTTTTATTACTATTACGACTACTACTATAAGACGAGCTACCACGGAGGCAGCAACATGATGAGCAGATCAGGGAGTGGTCAGACCTGCCAGGCTTTGATCTTCTTGAAGCAGCGCCGAGGCTCGAGATGTGATGTCAACAACAAGTACGTAGTAATAGTAATGATAGAAATAATATCAATAATAGGAATAATTGTATAATAGTCATGATAGGAATAGTAGTAATAGAAGTAAGAACAGTCATAATAGTAATAATAGAAAGTAGTAATAATAATAGGAAGAATAGGAATAATAGATATATATATATATGTTCATGTTTCAATCAATATTGGTGTAGTAGTGGTGCTCAGCCAGTTTTCATGCCTCAAGTTCAGAAGTCCTTGCATGTCAGGGGAAGACGAGGCCAAGCGGGCCCTAGAACTGATGGAGCGCACCCTCCAGGCCTTGATGGGCGTCAGGTTTTGCAACGATTGCTGCGGCCTTCTCAGCCTATATGTGACATAGTCTAAACTCCTTAAACGGGGTTACATAAGGGATCATATAGGGGCTACTATAGGGGGTATTAAGGGGGATACTAGGAGTTTAGACTATAGCTCATATAACCCACGAAGATAGCTTACTCTAGTGTAGGAGTGTCCATCCTCTTTTCCATTATCTTTATATAGCCTTAAAACCCTTCACCCTAAACCCGTATAACCGCTCTATATGACCCTTACATACACCCTAGTATAAAATAGTAGCTTTTCATTTTCCTTTTCATTCTCCCCGTGCCAATACAATGTCAGGGGGAGACCTGCTGCTTCGGCAGCCACTTCTTTGCTTTCAAGCAGGCCCTGCGGGTTGTTGGGAGTGCTTCTGTTCCCGTCCATTTTCTTGTCCATTATTCCTATAAACCTCCTACATACAACGCAATGCACACACCCTAAACCTTAAACTCTAAACCCCTCAACCCTAAACCCCCAAAACCCCTAAACTCTAAACCATGTATCCATATATATATATACATACCCCTTAGGCTTTGTTAAGGGGCAATGGCACTCTCCAGGCGTCTGTGGTGCTGCTGATGTGTCTGAAGCTACTCCCAGAGCCCCACTCGGCTTTGGACGGCTTGCCTAGGCGAGGGTTTAGGGTTTGGGGTTTAGGGTTTAGGCTTTACGGTTTAGGGTTTTGGGTTTTGGGTTTAGGGCTTAGGGTTTAGGGTTTAGGGCTTAGGGTTTAGGGTTTAGGACATTGTTGTTTGTGATGCTATATGAAAGCATATGAAGGTGCATTTTAGGATACTATAGTATACTATAGGAAATTATGGCATGTTATAGTACATAAATTATGGTTTATCTTAGTACATTATGGCTTAGATCAATCCCCCTACAGTAATGGCTCCTTAATATGGAGTTATAAGGGCCTTAATATACCTACAATAGCCCCTTGTGGTACCCATTACTGGGTGGGGGGATTGACCCAAACCCACACCCTAAACCCTCAACCTATGGCTTTTTCGTGGTCTGCTACAGCGGCCTTGGCAGGCTTGTGCTCAAGTTGGTCACACAGCTGCACCGCCAGGCCCAACTGCGGGTCTGAAGCTCTTTTTGGTATAGTGGAAAAGAAAATGGAAACCATAGGGATTACAGGGGTTATATAGGGTTTCTTATAGGGATTATAGGGGTATTTCGTTTGAAGCTCTTTTCCTAAAAATGGAAAAGAAAATGGAAACTACTACAATGGGTTATATAGGGTAGATATTGGGGTTATATTGGGATAATGGAAAAGAGAACGGAAACTACTATAATCGGTTATATAGGGGATATCTTGGGGTTATATTGGGATAATGGAAAATACAATGGGAACTACTATAGTATCTTGGGGTAACATTGGGGTAACGGAAAAGTAGATGGAAACTACTATTTAGGGTTTAGGGTTGAACATTACAGCTGAAGTGGATATCATGTTGCAGGGACTTGTTAAACGCGTGATTTGTTACATTCGCAGCTTACTTGAGCAAAAAACACGCAAGGTGCGATAAGAGTCAATTCCAAGTTATCGGACCTCTCTGTGGCTACATTACCCCAGTATACTATAGTAGTTTCCATTTCCTTCTCCATTAACCCAATATAACTCAAGATATACCCTATGTAACCCATTATAGTAGTTTCCATTTTCTTTTCCATTATCCCAATGTAACCCTAATGTATACCCTATATAACCCACTATGGTATTCCATTCTCTCTTCCACTATACCAAGAAGAGCTTCAGGCGAAAATTGGGGAATGAGTCGGACAGGGCTAAACGTGGTTCTTTGCGAGTTCTTGTTATGGCACATGTAAGAGCAAGAGCTGTTAAAAGGGCTTGATTTTTTCCGATGGAGGACACGTCCGGGTTGTCAGGCCGTGAAGCAAATCAGCAGCGGTGATTGCTGATGATGATGCTGGTGTGCACACCGGAGAATCAGTTTGGACAATCCAATATGAGGTCGAGAGTCTATTTACTAGAAAGGAAGCCATGCGTGAATGCCAGAATCTCAGGCATGACGTGGAACTTCTTGACATGCACTGCTAATAGCGTTGCCTTTTTTGTTGTTCTTGTGAGATGAGAGCGTATCATACATGTATCATACCAAAGTCTTTGAAAGGCAGCCTCGGAGAGTGCAACAAGAGTAAAGATCTCATTGCTGCCCAACATGGTCAATGTGTCTAGGCCAGAAAGTCTTGAAAGTAGAATTAAAAAGTGCAACATCGTGGTAACAGCAGCAGTTTTCTAGCCTCTAGCTGGGGCCTACGGGGTTGCCCCAAACCCCAAACCCTCAACCACAAATCCCAAGACCATGCTAGTGCAGGATTTTGCAGTGTTGAGCAGCTTTTCCCGCGACGTCGCGGCTGTGCCTGGCTTAATGACGACATGGTTCAAGATTCATTAGAGTATCGCTGGTATACTTAGTGTTATTTGTATGATCAACATACTAATATTGTTAGTAGCATGAGTATAGTTGGCATTATTGGTATAATGAGTATCATTCGTCTTTTAAGTATTAGTAGTACAGTTAGCAGTATTAGTATCATTAGCTTATTAGCATCATCAGTATTATTAGCTTTTTTGGGTAAAATTTGGGCATGCATTTGCCGGAAGCCGAAGGGGGCCCCCTGAAGCATCTGATGCTGGGTTTCATGTGAACTACTGTCAATATTAGCCTTACCAAGGGATCATTAATCATTAAGGGTGGACAGAGGCGTCCCTATTGTAAGTTAGATTTGCCAATAAGGAACCCACATCCAAACCCCTAAACCCTAAACCCTACATCCTAAACCCTCAATCCTAAACCCTAAACCCTACATCTAACACCCTAAACCCTAGACCCTAAACCCTAAGCCCTACGTCCTAAACCCTAAATCCTAGACCTTGAACCCTAAGCCCAAAAGCATCAGTTCTCTTCTCTAGGTAACATTGACTGTAGCTCATGTATGGGAGTTTGCACCTTGGCATCTTCTAGACTCATTGTTGCTTAGGGCAGAGGGGGTTTCCGATAAGAATTATAGTATATTCCAGCAAGGATGTTGTGTTTGCTGGTCCACTGATGAGCAATCCCCGCCTGAAAATCCTGCAGCGCCTCTATTGAGAGGTCTTCGCTCTTGGGGCATATTCTCCAAACGCAATGGTCAGCAAGTCAGAGTTGTATCTTGCCTCGGGCTCCAATTACCCGTGCCAACAGAGTGAGAAAGCCCTCTACATCTTGGATCATGAAAGGCAATATGTCTTGCCTTTCTCTGCATACGTTTTGCAACCGTATGGTATTGATACTATCCTTGGTCCATTTGCAATGAAACTTACTGCTTGAAAAGCGCGTATTTTGTCTTTCTCAAGTTTGTTTCGGTATTTTTTGCGTCTGCACATGAAAGACATGCTTCCTTAGTGGATGTTTCACAGCCTAGATCGAGACTTTACCTGTTTTGTACCCAGGTGGCAGCATGCATTGTCTCACAGGTTGCCGTGCAAGTGCACTGCTTCCAATCTTCCGTTCTCAGAGCCACTTTCCTCGCACCTTGCTGTCCGAACTTTCCTATCCATGCAAAGCATTGAGCAATTGAATGGACTTTCGGGGTTTAATTCAATGATACAACGTAATTGGGCCTTTCGGCTCCGGCTTAGGTGTTTGAGCAGTCGCCCCCCAACCTAAATCCTAAATCCTCCATCCTGAACCCTGGCCAGATTTCTGAGGCTCTTCGCGCGTTGGTAAGCCGCCCATTCCGGCTGACCGCCTTCCCTCGGCTTTCCCGGCTTTGCAAGGATCCGGATGGAGTTTTCTGAAGCTAGGAAATGAAGGAAAGAATATGGAAGCTCTTACCGGGTTTAGGGTCTAGGCTGGCTTGTAGGGAAAGGAGAACTTTGAAAGGAGTGGAAAGTGGCAACTACTATTCTTACATCATTTGAGGAACAGGGTCTGGCAAATGAAATGAAAGAATGGAATACAAGGGCATTGTTGGGTGGTGTACAGGGACTACTATGGAGATTCATTCCTACAATCCCTGCTAGTCAGAAATGGAGCCGTTCTACTGACAAATTGCTGTCTCACATATTTGGCTCTGAGAATCCCTGCTTCGTGCAAGTTGCTTTGGTTTTATATGAGCTAGAGTCTAAACTCCTTAAAGGGGGTTATACAGTGGAGTATTATACAGCTTATTGAGAGGGGTACTAGGAGTTTAGACTGTAGCTCATATGCAACAGTAAGGAGAAAGTCATTAAGTAAAGAGAACAGTTCCTGTGGGCCCTAAACCCTAAACCCTAAACCCTAAACCCTTAACCCTAAGAGAACAATTCCTGTGAGTCTCAGGAGCGCTTGCCGGATGCGGAGCAGGTGCGGACAACCCCTTGCTTCTGGGTTGCTGTTGAGGAACTCAATTTAAGTTACTATAGGGTTTAGGGTTTAGGGTTTAGGGTATATTATCCCCCTGTAATGGAGAATCAAATGGAAAAGAAAATGGAACATGAAATGGAAACTGGGGGGAATATAGGGATTTAAGGAACTGAATTTAAGATACTATATTGGGGAAACCCTGTTATTTACTATATATACCCATTATGGTAACTTAATTTAAGTTCCTTAAAAGCAACCCAGGCTTTTGATTGGGCTACCGGTGGTTCAATGAAGGCATGCAATACAGTGATTTTTTGTGGGAGCCTAAAGGGCCACAACAGGGATGCATTCGTCCCTTCTATCCCAATTTGATCTGAGTGGGTGTATGCGGTGTTGGGGTAGGATAGGATCGTGCGTGTTAACCGTTAATCCTAATTGAACCCTGCATCCCGACGTGTCATCCCCAATCATTGCATATATACTCCATTCCGTTCCTTCCTTCTTTCCTTCCTTATACACCGCCAGTCATTCCATGAATTCTGCACCAAACCTCTTTTGCTTGAGCCTTCAAGCCTTGCTCTGGACATTCCAGACCTGAGAGCAGGCAGCCAGCGCGCCGGGTGCAGGTCTCCTGACGCAGAATTGGCACGTTGGAACAATGACGGCCCCAAGAATGTATCAGTCTTGCCATAGTTAGATCTGCTTCGAAGCAGCAAGGGTATTGTTGGGGTGCGGCTGGGAGCGGGGGTCGGGAAGGTAGTGGGGGTGGTTGGGGTAGTGTGGGTGATGCTGACGGTGGTGGTCGTCGTGTGGTCAATGTAGTCATAATCGTAGTAGCAGCCTTATTGGTAGCAGCAGCAGCAGCAGCAGCAGCAGCAGTAGAGCAGTATAGTAGGGGTGCTCGTAAACACTGCAGCTTGAGTGAGTCCGTTGACGATGTTCATTGTACTCCCTTTTCCCGCCTGACCACTGCAAGGGCCATGGTTCCTGCATACGCCCATTGGCTTCCTTGTGCCACGTGTGTATGAATTACAGTATTTACAGCTCAAGGTTGCGAACAAGACCTCGAAGTTGCCCAGAGCGCAAGTATGCCAAGTGTTGGACCATGCAGATGAAGGGCAACTGGGGCCTCCTTTGTTCATGGAGCACGGGGTCGTGCCGGCGAAGTCCGGATGCAGTGGAACGTGCAGCAGCAGCAGCAGCGCCATGTTTGACAGGACTACTAGTCCTGTTTGGGACACCCTGCAGCAAGTTCAAAGAAGACGTGCAGATA